TTAGAACCTAACATACATCATATTTAGAATGTCAATTAGGGTAGCATTAAAGCATTAGACCTTGTCTAATAATGATTTTTCTGCTTCTAAGGTCTACGTTCAAGACATTCTTCAAAGCAAGTTGGAAGGTGAAGTGTGCACCCTTTTGCATAAAGAAGGAGGACATCTGTATGTCTGTGGAGACGTGCGCATGGCCAGGGATGTTGCTCAGACTTTGAAGGGGATGCTTGCAAGTAAACTGAGCCTCACTGAGCAGCAGGCAGAGGAGTATATCTTCCAGCTAAAGGTATGCAGTGTTGTGCAAGGCATTCCTTCCGTTCAGACAGTGCTCCAGCATGGTCTGCAGGAGACTTTGCTCACAGTCACAGTCCTGATTAGTTTCTTTCCAGCAATGGGCTGAAGAAAAAAGCTTAAGTGACCAGCTTTGTCCACTCACCATGATTATTAAAATGCTTAGTTTCGTCTTGGTTAGGATGTATGAGTGACATGTCATGTTCCCGTTTTATCTATGATTGTGCCCACTGTCTCCTCTGGGCATTAGCTTTGCAGTCTGAGCGGAATGTCAAGAATTTGAGACTTTGTAGTACTGAAGGAGGAGGAAAAGGAGTTTAAGAAATGAGGGAGCACGTAAGTGAAATCACAGTGCTGGACTGTCTGGCTTTATAGGACCCTTGTTTTACTGGAACTTGTCCTGGATCATGTGAATTTGGGATTTTCATGCGCTCCCATATTGACTGTGACAAAAATCCTCTTTTACATAGTAACAAAAGATCACGGTTATCAAATCAGTCATATGAATATGAAAGACCTTTAGATGCTTACTGTTGTATAAGTAGTAGCTTGCAGGAATTATTTTATCTCTTGGGTATCTTTTTTTACAGAGCCAAAAGCGATACCATGAAGATATATTTGGAGCTGTGTTTCCACAAGAAGTCAAAAGAAATGTAAGAACCTTGCAATCCTCCAGTCCTTGAGCAAATGAACAAACAATGTTTTAGACTGTTCTTGCACATTCGTTGTTATTTTCAAAAAGGAAGGAGCCAAATCCTCCTTCTGTTTTATGACAGGTTGTATATATGGATCTGGTGGTAGATCAACCTTTAAATGTTAGCCTTAATTAAGAAAAAAGATAAATTTAACTTTTGTTGCTATTTATTTTCAGACTTCTTTTAAGCAATTTTTATAATCTTTATAATGAAGAGGCAAATTATTTTTTTAAATCTATCTACACTAGTACAAATTTGCCATTTTTTGTAAATACAAAATGAAACCTACTCATAAGGTAAATTTAGAGGTTTTTTACTATAGAATGCATATATTTTTGTGAAATAGTCTGTTTATCTATGTGGATTTATTTATATCAGATTGTTTTAGTGTGCTTATTATCTTCACTTTAAAGTAGCTGTGTTTCTTGGAAATGTGTGGTCACACTGGTTGTTGAACTTGAAGTGGTGTTTGTAAATGTGATAATAATATAATGGTTCCAAAGCAGAAATACCTTCAACATACACTTCAAATACATACGTATGAGGAGACAGCAGTTACAAGTTCTGCTTCATGTGATTCAGCACGTGGACCTGAATAGTTGCTGTTACAGAGCCCATGGCAGTGAGGCTCAGAAAAATCATAAGCACTTTGTATGTTTGTCTTCTGTGCTCTGACTTGATTTGTTTTAATAAATTATATTGAGACAAAAAAAATGTCTGCATGGATTAAATGTACCTTTTTGTGTTACAAAAAATGGGGGTAGATAAATTCTCAGGGTTCAGGGAATTTGGGCTCCAGTGAACACTCCTTCCACAGGCAACCCCTCCTTCCACCCCCAGGAGTTACACAGTCCCCCTAGGATTAGTCACATGTGGTTGTGACTGGCAGGGATGTGTGAGCTCGGCCTGCGACTGTGGGACTGACGTGCGGAGTATAAAGTGGTAATAACAGGGCGTTTCGGCCTTGCTTGCATTTTGTCTTTAGCTCTTTGTATAGCTTCCAGTTATGTCACAACTTCTCCTTGTCTCCAGGAGCTGGAATCTGAGGAAGAAAGAGCTGAGACTCAAAAGTCAGCCATGTGCAGATGCAGTGTGTTTCTGTGTACTTCAGGACAGCCTTAAGCATAGGACCAAAAGTGCAGCACAGTTGAAAGATTTTGAACAGTGATGTCAGAGAACAGGAACTTTCAGACAACAGACACAAAGACGGTCAAGGAAAGAGGAGTCTTTAGCAGGTACGGAGTCCTGATGGTCACCTAGTGTATACACTCTGTGCGTTCTTTTATACTATGTTCCACTGATGTTCTCTGTTACTAATTTTTGGTCTGGGTTGGAAATAGAACAAAGCAATTTCACTTTCCATTAAGAAGGCTTTCCTTAGGGAGCCAGGTTCTGTTTTCGTTGAGCTCTGGACTTCAATGAGTCCCACACGTGAGGGAAACAGAAGAAATAAGTTCCAGACTTCAAATGCCAATATGCTCTTGGCCCTATGGAGCGGTGTATCACAGCACACCCTATTTTACACACACACAACTGATTTAGTAGATGATTTTCATGTCAGGATTATTTCTTTGTATTTCAGGTAACTCTTCTCCAAAGTAATCACTGTTTTAAAGGATTACTATAATCCTTTATAAATGCCCGCTTGTCCTATTAATAAAGAACTACATTTCACTTGCATGTGGAGGGTGGGGAAATGAAGGAGAAAAATGTGCTGTTAGTACCAAGTTGAGAGCAGACTGGGGTGCCCTCATATAGTGCCATATCCTGAACACATGGGGACCACTGAGAGCTGCCAGCTAGGAAAGTGTTTGCTCCTTCAGAGGCCTCTGCTGAGTTAGAGGCAAAAGTATTTGTGTGTCGGGCAGCTCAGAAGCTGCCTGACCTTCTCCTGCATGCATTGGGAGTTGATGAGGCAAGTTCTACTGTGGCACTAATTCCAGCGTTGCAGGAATTTCCCCCTGATGGAGAGATAAGAAGGCATTTAATGGAAAGGATTAAAAAAGTAAAGATTCCAATTCGTTGTGAATTTATTTAAACTGTTTGCAGTCTTAGGTTAATTTCAATTGCAGCACTGGGCTGAAGCTGTGTATAATTGCTTTTCTCTAGAAATAAATGGGGAAGATAAAGTGCAGATGATAGTCAGTAGATAATTACTCAATTCCAAGATAAAAACTGAAGCTTCATGCGGGAAGGCAGATGCAGAATATCTCCTTTAAAACCCTAAAGATGGTCAAGGAGATGCTTGCTGAGGTCCCTGGCCCGTGAAGCTGTAGCGGTCAGACCCATGGATGCGTTTCTGAGTGTTCCCAAGTGCGCTGGCATTCGCTGGTGGCAGAGTCTGTATGGGTAACACGTGTTAGCTTAAGCTTCTGTCCTTGAGCTCTAAGGTAGCACATACTGCCTCATGTTTGTTACGTGGTAAACAGCATGGATCAGTAGCAATATTTATACATTCCAATTTATTAGAAGGAATTAAGCGTTGCCCGCTATGGCCACGCTACACGGCTATGGCACCCTGGCACTTTGCTGCATAGCCAAGAGCCAGCAGCAGTTCCAGCCTTTCCATAGGGCAACACCTGGGATGAGCTTAAGTGCCTCCAGCTGGAGCAGCTGCCGGGGGGGCTGCGTTTCTGCCCAGGGGCTGTGTGGCCTGGGAGGGAGGCGCAGCGAAGGGCAGCCGCGTTGGCCAGGCGTGTCCCAGCACATGGGTCACTGTGTTGGCCAGGTGTGTCCCAGCACACGGGTCACTGTGTTAGCCAGGCGTGCCCCATCACATTGGTCACCGTGTTGGCCAGGTGTGCCCCATCAGTCACTGTGGTGGCCAGGTGTGTCCCATCACATTGGTCACCGTGTCGGCCAGGTGTGCCCCATCAGCCACCACCAGCCAGGCAGTGATGGGCAGTGGCTGGGCAGCCAAGAGGCTGGGCTGGGGCTGTGGTGTGGCTGCAAGGTCAGTGGATGGAGGAGCCCTGGGAGAAGGACCTTGATGTGCAGTCAGGTAAGAGAGAGGCTTTTTTTCTTTTCTTCTTCTGGTGTGTTGTATTTTAGGGATGTAAAGAGCTCCTCCTGCCTGAGCGTGGGTGTGGAGTGTGAGGAGGCCTGGGTGGCCAGGAGGCGGCTGCAGGTGTTGGTGCAGGGTGGCAGGAGGTGGAGGTGGCTGCAGTCCTGGCGCTGGGTGGCGGGCAGGAACGAGCTGTGTCTGGGGTCCGTGGAGGGCTGAGGTGGTGGCTGAGCTGCTTCCTAGGGCTGTGCTCTGCCCTGGGGCTTGTGAGCTGCTGCCTGGGGCCTTCTGTAGGCCTTGGCCAACCCCGTCCTGTGGCTGGACTGAAATGTTGTGCCTGCACCCTGAGGAGGGCTGAGCAGTTAGGATTGTCCTGCCGAGCTGGTCAGAATGGTCCCTGTGGGACCCTGTGGGTGTTAAGGATTAAAACGCGATTGAGTGTTAAACTGTAGCCATCTGGAGCTATGAGAGATCTCCCCATGTGCTTGAATTTGCCTGCACTGAGGTGAGTATTGGTAGTTTTGAAAAAGCTTTTGTTCTTCAGAGAAAGCAGAGTCTAGGTGATTCGTTGATAAAGAAATATTGTAAAGACTCTTAAAATGAACAATATGTGTTGCTGGGATGTCTGAATGACAATGTGCGCTGTATTCATAGGCTAAAAGGTATTCTAGGCTTTCCGTAGGGGACAGGTGTTTGGTTTAAGCTTTCCTAACACGTGCCTTGCCGGGTGTCCTGTACAGGCACCGCGGTGAGCAGCGTCGCGCTGTGACACACGGCGACTGGCTAAGCTGCGCACAGCCGCGCGGCTCCGCGCTCGGACCCGCGTCAGAGCAGCGTCAGGGCAAACCGTGAGCGTGTCCGCGCGCTGCGGAGCGGCCACCCGGTGCGCGTCATCAAACCCGTGTCCCTTCGCGGCCACCTTGAAGCACTGTCCGTCGCAGAAGATCCAAACCTTAAATGAACGGCTGGCTTGGGGAGAGCAGCGGGAAATGCCAGAGCAGACCTTGCAGGCAGGGGGACACTCGGGGCGATGGGAAGCGCAGCCCCGCTCTCGTGAGGCTGCCGGGGCTGCTGCGGTGGCTCCGCTGCGCGGCAGGGCCCTCGGGCCTTGCTCTGCAGCCTGGCGAGAGGAGGGATTGGGCGCCGCTCGGCTTAGCCCAGAGATAAGGCTTAGCAGAGTGACCCTCAGCGGTCAGCGTGGCGATTGCTGGTGTTACTGGAGCTGCTGTCCCCCCTGCCCGCCGCGCAGCCCTGCCTCCCGCAGGGCTCAATGCGATCAGAGCGCGGAGCGTCGGGTTTGTGGAGGCTCTTGCTCAGCCTGGAAAATGCAGCGTGAGGAGTCCCTGTCCCCATTCCTGCACCCACAGGCACCATCTGCTCTCTGGGGCGCTAAACTGCGAAAAAATGAGTGCCTGTGCAAATTGTCGAGTTTAAAACGCCCCCTCATCTGAGAAGGAGCTTGCAAAGGGAGCCTCTTTTCCTCAGAGCCAGGTACTTCCCCTGCACGTAGCTGGGTTTGTGCCAGCTGAGCCACAAGAAGACGCCTCTTGCTTCAGCTAGGTAAGAAATTGCTGGTGCTTCGGGCAACCAGGCTTGGACGTAATTGGCCAGGCAAACCCAGACTGTTCTGGTTAACGGCTGATAGAATGTAATGTTCATGCTTTAGGTCTGGTTTTAAATTGAACAAAAAAAACTTGTCCTTCAAGTTTAATTGAGGGTTAAGTTCATTATTTCTTATTCTGTGTAGAAAAATAAAACAAAGCTTAACTTATCTAAAGCTTTTCATTGTTCACACATGAAAGATGTAGATAAAATTGATGAAATGTATAATTGTGCTCTTCAAAATTCCCTGGCCTTCTCCCGGCAGGATAGCACAATGCTGCTGTCATTTCCAGCATAAGGATGATTGCCAGAGGTATAATATTCTGGGATTAATTACACACTACAGCATCACTTCCCCTAAGGGCACCGAGCAGCCACGGTTGCGCCGCAGAACGTCTTCCACCCGGTCGGTCGGTGAAAACGCTGTAGCTGGACCCGCTGCCTGGGAGCCGCGGGTGCTCTCCG